GCGGTGTCTAAGTACACTACAACATATGTAGTTTCAATCACCAAGGATTATTAGTCTATAGAACTAACAAATATCCACAATAAACCAATCATATTTCAACAAAAAACCTTCTTCAGTGTTATTTTCTTGAACTTTTTGAAGCCAGAAACTAAGTACACCTGAAAGTCAGATTGGGTACAAGTAAATAACACATTAATTTCTTACCTTTCAAGCTCACAAGTGCTTTTGCTGAAGAACCTGCAATATATCAAAAAGTACACATAAATCATAAGTTATTTCAAACCATACAACTATACAGAGTCTACTCATTCTTAATTAATTCTTAGGCAGAAAGTGGAGTTTAATATTAAAGCTTTCACAGCTGAATGAGTGAACCCAGTGCGCCCCCTCCATGGCACTAAGTATAGCATCATATGTTTATTGCCTAATAAATCTTGAAAGCATATTCGTGTTTTGTTTTTCCCTTTAGTTTCACATCTACAAAACAGCTTCAGATGCCGAGCACTTTTGTTTGACGTAGCAAATTCTGAACAAGCTTTATGTCCAAACTACATACTTCCATGCAGCTGCTTGTTTGATGCAGTTGCAAATATATTATACAACTGACAAAAGGAAACTGTAATGAACACTACTTCTTTTTTTTTTTTTTTTTTAATTATTTCTACCAATTCAAAATTCTTCAACGCCAAAAATTTCCATGGAAGCAGCAGTTTATGCTCTCTCAGCTTGGTTCACAAGTAGGGAGATGGATAGTTAGTTGCCCCCGGTGGAACCTCCTTATTCAGAAAGGCAGCATTCAGATATTATAAATGCAGACGGGACCCTTAGTTTGCTTGAACTGTTCAAACTGTGTAACACATCCATCAAAATTTCACTGCTCCCCTTCTACTGCATCTGTAGGACCTCTGCAGTGCTTCTGGGCCAGGAAGGACAAAACTGGGCCTAACTACGGCCTTCATGCTCTGGAATTTTCAAATGTCTTCTAAGAATGAGCTGTTTGAAGCAACTACATTAGCAGAGGGGAAAGATATTTCTGCATGACAATTCTTCCACAGATTAATGCTTTTCTCTCAAATCAACTTTATCTTTCCAGTTATGTTCCAGTGTTGCAACCACTCCTTCTTGCATTGCATCCCCTCTCCCCCTCACTTTCCCCACTCTCTCCTTCAGCTTCTCTTTGGAACTGCTGTTCCAAGAACATTTCTGACTCCGAAGGTCTGGAAATTCCTTTTCTTGTGGCTGCCCCGTATCTAGGTCCTAACCCACTAACTTCACAGTGCCAGAGATCCTTGCCTCTAAGAGGATATATTCCAGGGAATATCACAGAGCCAAAAAATGAATTACGGTCCCTTTCCAGGGGAACAGAGCATTTTCGTTTGGGGTGGACTGTTGAACAGAATACAGGTGCAGGAAGGGCAAAAAAAACCCCTACATTCCTTATTTTTTCATCATATTATTTTGTTTGCTGCCATCTTATTATGCCACATGTTAAAAATAAAACAGAAAAAGGAAAGAAAGTTTCTATTCTTTGCAGAAAATTTTTAAAAAATGTTTAAGATATGAAATTGAACTAGTTTTGACTCACTGGTGGTTTAGAGGGCCTCCACCCCAGTATCTCCCAAGTTGTTCAAACCTACAACAGCTAGCACATATGGGATTACATGTCAAAAACACGGTGACAAACCTGGGCTATACTGTTGCCCTTCTTGGATGTTTCTTTTCTGACATATCACCTTTGTCAGGTTGGAGACCTAATAGTGCCTGGTACAGGAACATGCTTCTATGATGATCCGATTCACAGTGAATTCAGCTCTTGTAACTAAGCTGTACGTTAAAGGTATCACAGGATTAAAGCCTTTTTTTTTTTTTTTTTAAATTTCATACTAATAATTAGATACTGAACACTGTGCTTGCATAAATACATGGGTACCCTGCTATCAACCAAGAATGCAGTCCTGAACAGTAACTGTAAGAACACTGAAGAACTAGTGTGTGTCCCCCCAAATTAACATAAGATATGGTGGGAAATGTGTACAGGGATTAATAAGTACACGCAGTTTAAGAACACAGGGAAAGTACACGTCATTGGGGATGGAGAGGCAGAAGTAGGGTCATCAGGATTGTCAAATGGAGGAGATGCTGGCTTTTCAGAATGGATCACTACTCTGAAAGGTCTCAGGCATTTCATCTGTAAGACTGAACATACAATCATTTTCTTCTTTTTCACACCATCTTGTTCATATGAATCAAGTTCAATCAATTCGGTCAAGGGTGAGTATGTCAACAATGGAAACGAAACAACTCGGCAAGAGGCAGCAAAGCTTTATATGGGGGGTGGTGTCAATCTCATAGCTGAAGTGCCCGAGATCCTTTGTTAACCATCAAACTCAGATGCTTCACCTGTGAGACTGATGATGGGTCAGCAGAGCAGGGCATTAGATGACTGGCATCAGAAAAAACAGGTAGAGAAGTGATGGACAGCAGAATGTTACTGCACTACCTTCTAGCTTTATAAGATTACCACTCCAAAACAGCATTAGTTGCCAAGGACTTTTCCACAAGGGATAGTTAATCTTCAACAGATGCATGCTAGAATAAGGCTGCTCATTTGTTTTCACTTAACCTGCAACTAGAATCATAGAATCATAGAATC